ATTGCCCCGGGGTCGACACAACCAGTATCACCTTGTACCAAAGTAAACAGCAGTTTCCCTGTGGCGAGACTCGCCTCCCCTCCCCCTTGCGCCCGCCATAGGAATGTGGAATTTCAACGGCTGGCTTAAATGGAGCATCGCACCAACGGTCATTTGAATTTTCACTTAACGGCGTTTCGTGAAGGAGGGTTATTGCCCGAAACGTCGCTTATTACGTAGACGTTTCCTTTTGAGAACATGACGCAGTGTTGTTGTTGTCTATAGATGTTGGCTGTGCTTGTGCACCAGCGCAGTCAATCCGTGATGTTGATTGCGGTGGCGAAATGCCAACGACCTCTCCTGGTCTACAGGAGGTCGTGGGTTCGATCCCCGACCCTGACGCTTGTTGCTGTATATTTGAAGTTTGCGTGTCTTTCTCTCTCTATGTCCACGGCCGCGTGGATTCTTCTCCGGGTCCGCCGGTTTTTCCTTCAACGCTTAGACTCAACATCACGCGTTTAGAGTATTTGGCTGCTTTACATGTCCACGTGATGACAAGCCCGCTTCGTTTGTGATCGCCATGTAGCTTCTACAAAAGAGCAATACAGCTCAGTGGGCCTTACCTGGTAAAACAAAAAAACTGAGTTTACGTGTTTAATCAACTAAAGTCCCTCCTTAATCAGTGTTTTTGAAGACAACATTGGTCGCGAAAGCCCACGTGTTGAACCCAAGTCACTTCTCTAACACGCACGGAGCGTTGGGGGCTGGGTGACCAGTAGCCTCACCATAAGTTGCGCACATGTACACACACACACTATATATATAAAACCTTAGCTCCTTGCATCAATGCGAACAGATTAAAATTCATGCGGATGGTTGCATCTCACGAGTTGCCAATGTCGGGGCAAGGGGGGGGAGGGGGGGGCCTCTCTGAATGAGCGGCGTCACCCCGAGGCCCCACGCGCACGTTCCGTGTCAGCCAGGTGCCGCGTGGACACCCACAATACAAAGAGGGTCGCGCGCGTGGCGCGCATCGAATCCCCACGCGCGCCTCGCCTCGATGGCCACGCGCGCCTCGTCTCGATCGCCACGCGCGCCTCGCCTCGATCACCACGCGCGCAAACGATTTCCACTCTCGTCCAATGCCCGGCGAAGTTTGCTCCGAAAGATGAAAGGCAACGGTCAATCACCCGGCGTCGTCTCGACAGACTGTTTGGGGCGAGTGCTGTTCGCGAGCACCTACGAAGGCCGGCACGGTGCACGAGTCGGCTGGGTAGGGAGCGGGGGGGGGGGTCAAGAACCACGCCCGGCCGCCTTTGTCTCTGCAGTGGCGATGTTTACTACGCACCGCACTGGATACTCATTTAAGGCTGAGTCTACCTAGGGGATGCCCAGGACCGGTTCAGATGATCGTCACTGGTGTTGGCCGTGAGCGGGTTCGTAGCGCAGCGCGCTAAACGCTACATCACTGCTCTCAACGACCACTGCCACCACCACCACTACCACCACCACTACCACCACCACCACCCTCTCCGTCCCCAATTTATGTCAGGCTATAGTTGACCTCAATTCACCTTCACTCGACCACTCTGACGGGCCTCTCTGCGCCCCCTGAAGAAAGCCCATTAGCCCGAAACGTCGCCCAGTATATCTTCATTTTGAGTCCACACAGTGCGATTGACGAAACGCGTTGTATTTGTTTTTTTTTGCTCGTTTTTGTTTTTTTTCTCAACACAATTGTCTTCTCTTGTTAACGGTGTGAATGATTGGGCGTGCACGATGATGGGTTGTCAAGGATCACGTCGGAGTGGCAGCCACAAGGAATGGAACGCGTCCGACTTGAGGACGCCCACCGGGGAGGAGAGATGGAGCCGTGAAATCATCCCAGCTTCGTGCGCAGGAGGCTGCGTGTATTTTTGCGTCGCGTGACCCCGATCGGCGTACGGCGACTGCTTCGGAGTGGCCATCATCCAGCAGTGGATTGATCACGGATAATCCTGATGATGATGAATTCAACTGGCAGGCCTTCATCCACTGCTGGATGAAATCCCCGCCCCCCTCCCCCGATCCCCACAAACATTCGCTATTCTTACTTAATTTGGAGCTTATTCATTATTCTCTTACGACCCCGCGATATCAAAACAGCGAGCGACTCGTGACCCAACAGCCGCACCGCAACACGAAACTTCTACCGATTCCGTCGCTCCATCTCTCTCTTTTTTACGATCAGTGGAAACAAGATGATCGGTGTATTCGGCACTTTGCTTCGTTCATCATTTCGTAATTTTTTTTTAAACTTTGCTTTATGTAAAACCCCCACCTCTCGCTCACTCTCTCGCTCACTCTCTAGCTCACTCTCACGCTCACTTTCTCGCTCACTCTCTCGCTCACTCTCTCTGTCACTCTCTCGCTCACTCTCTCACTCACTCTCTCGCTCACTTTCTCGCTCACTCTCTCGGTCACTCTCTCGCTCACTCTCTCGCTCTCTCGCTCACTCTCTCGCTCACTCTCTCGCTCACTCTCTCGCTCACTCTCTCGCACACTCTCTCGCTCACTCACTCGCTCACTCTCTCGCTCACTCTCTCACTCACTCTCTCTGTCACTCTCTCGCTCACTCTCTCACTCACTTTCTCGCTCACTCTCTCGCTCACTCTCTCGCTCACTCTCTCGCTCACTCTCTCGCTCACTCTCTCGCTCACTCTCTCGCTCTCTCTCTCTCTCGACGGTAGACGTCTTCGGGCACCTCTCGGAGTCGCAACCCGCCTGCCTTCGCCGCGAAGCCCTTCGGGGCTCTCGAAGCCCTTCGGGGCTCTCTTAGCCCACAGAGAGCCACGCTTGACCCCCGGTTCAGCTGAACGCGGCGAAGTGCGCGATGCTGGAGGCTCCTGTGCGGCGCGCTTTGGAACGAGCGCAGGAGCGCACGACGGCACGGGAGCTCCTCCACTCGGCCTCTCTGCGCGTGCGTGCGCGCGCTCCTGCAGGCACGGCCGATGCGCAAGCCCCGTCGCTCCGCTGATTTGATTATAAATATTAGATGGTGATTTAATGCAGCGATTGGCGGAGAGCCATGCTCGGCTGTGTCCGGCGTAATTAGCGGCGGCCGAAGATGATGAAACGCTACCGCATTCGCGCTCATATCACCACAGCTCCCGCCGCCCCTCTCGGGCCCTTCGTGCCCCCCCACCCACCCAACACCCACCCACTCAACCACCCCGCCACCCCCGCCTTCTCCCCCCACCGCCCCCCTCCCCAACTTCAACCCCCCCCCACGCTCCTCTCTCCCTTGACGCTCACCCGGGCACGCACTTGAAATTAGGCATTCACTTGTTGTTGTTGTTGACGGCCAAGCCAATTCGTCCATGCCACCGTCCAAGAGGCGACGTTTCGGGCAACGGTCCTCTCATCAGAACAGGCGCCTTTCAGTCAACGGGCGGTTGACCGCTTGTCTTCAGCAGTGACACCACGTCGCCTGTTGTATCATGTGAAGTCTCCTCCAGGGTTAGGGTTATCGACAATTGAGTTATTTGTGTGTGCGTGTGTGTTCATTCCCTGCTATCGTGTGCGTTGCGCACCATTGGCTCGACGCGGGGCTAGATTTTGGCAGAGATCGTGACGACACGCTCGCTTCAATCCACGATTAGGCACGGCTGGCTGCGTACGGCGCGAAAGAAGTTTCGACACACGTGCGCATTCGCGTTTCGCAATAACCACTCGCGCTCAGGTTGTCGCGCCCATTCGGGAAGGAGACGTCTCGGTGAGCACCCAGCCTCTCTCTCTCTGTGTGTCTCTGTGTGTCTCTCTCTGTCTCTCTGTGTATCTCTTTGTGTCTCTCTCTCTGTCTCTTTGTGTCTGTGTCTCTCTGTGTCTCTGTCTCTCTCTGTGTCTCTGTCTCTCTCTCTGTGTCTGTGTCTCTCTGTGTGTCTCTCTCTGTGTCTGTGTCTCTCTGTGTCTCTCTCTCTGTCTCTCTCTGTGTCTCTGTCTCTCAGGCGACGTGACCCACACTCACTGCAGCTCGTCTCTCTGTGCTTCATTCACTACCTTTCAAACACACACACAACACACACAAACAACACAACACACTCACACAACACACAAACAACACAACACGCACAAATAACACACCTCACACACACACTAACCACACACACAATCAAAACAAACCTCACACAACACAACCCTCTCTCATACACACAACACAATCATCACACACGTACACACCAACCAAACACACACGATCAACACAAACCTCACTCACGTAACACAACCCTCTCTCTCACACACACAACACAACCCACACACACACACACAACCTCACACACACAAAAACAACACAACTCACTCACACACACTAACCACACACAAATAACACACCTCACACACACAACAACCACACACACACGATCAACACAAACCTCACATAACAAAACCATCTCTCACACACACACACAACATAACCCACACACACACACAATCTACACACACACACAGCTCACACACACTAACCACACACACAACAACAACCTTTACACACACATCCACACACACCAACCAAACACACACGATCAACACAACACTCACGTAACACAACCCTCTCTCACACACACAACACAACCCACACACACAACCCACACACACACAAACAACACAACTCACTCACACACACAACAACAACCCTCACACACCCAACACCCCCACTCACCTACCCACACACACGCACACACCAACCAAACACACACGATCAACACAACACTCACGTAACACAACACTCTCACACACACACAAAACCCACACACACACACAACCTCACACGCACACCCAACACACCCCCCCACCCACACACACACAACCTCACACACACACAAATAACACAACTCACACACACAACACAACTCACACACACAACCACAACCCTCACACACCCAACACCCCCCACTCACCCCACCCACACACACACAACACAACCCACACACAACAACAACAACCCTCACACACCCACCACTCACCCCCCCACACACACGCAGGGCTCGGATTCGTCTGCCTGCTGCTGCTCTGGCTGTCTCCCGCGAGCACCAGCGACTGCCCCAAGAACTGCAGCTGCTACATGCTGCCCGTCACCGCGAACTGCCAGTCGCTGGGATTCGTCAGGATCCCATCGGGCCTGCCCAGGAATAGCCACCGAGTGCTCCTGCAGAACAACCGCATCACAGCGGTGCCTCGCGAGAACGCCCTCAGTCCCGACACCGTTGCCCTGTCGCTTTTCTCCAACAACATCACCATCATCCAGCCCGGTGCGTTCGCCGCCTTCTCTCGGCTGGACGAGTTGGACCTCGGAAACAACCGTTACCTGCAGTGGCTGGACGCGGACACGTTCCTAGGACTTGTGAACTTGCACACGCTGCACCTGTACCGATGCGGGCTGCAGGAGCTGCCGGACAGAGTGTTCGCCGGCCTCAGGGGACTGCAGCATCTGTACCTGCAGCAGAACGAGCTGATGCATCTGCAGGTGATTTGATGATGATTGATGATGATGATGCACGCACACGGCACGCGCACGGCACGCTTTGCCACGTGTCATTGTTGGTGTTGTTGTGGTGAGTGGAGAAAGCCGTTGATCTTGCAATGGAAAACAAAAATAAGAGACGTGTGAAATTGTTTTGATATTCGGATCTCAAAATCCTCCTGTGCTCGGAGCACTTAAAGTAATCTGTTTTTATAAGAATATGTTTTCTCCTTTTTTCTGGCAACAAAACAGCTGTTTTAAGATTTTAAAACACCAAACTGAAACCTTTTACAAGGAATCATGTCTGCATTAACCACAGTACTTGTGGTAAGAATGCAAACAAAAAACGTACTCTGATAATATATGCGTTGTCTTTGAAACGGATTGGTCCACACCAGAGACAGCTTTCTTTTGAGCCTCGTCTCAAACGGTGTTAGACCAGAGGATGCCAAATGGCGTACAGCCACAAAGACAACGCACCATCAGAGTAAAGAGAGCTCGGGGTGAGCATCTACATCATGTGACCTCCTTTGCCAGTACCAAAATATGAGAATAGGCTTTTACCCTTTTATCATGTAAAAAAACAGGTGTTAATTTGTTAAAACACCAAACTGAAACCTTTTACAAGGAATCATGTCTGCATTAACCACAATATTTGTGGTCTCATTACTCTGATAGTGCATTGTCTTTGAGCTGTACGTCTTTTGGCGTCCTCTGTTTTAACACCGTTTGAGACGAGACTCAAAAGAAAGCTGTCTCTGGTGTGGACCAATCAGTTTCAAAGACAATGCATATATTATCAGAGTATGTTTTTTGTTTGCATTCTGACCACAAGCATTGTGGTTCATGCAGAAATGATTCCTTGTAAAAGGTTTCAGTTTGGTTTTTGAACATCTTAACACCTGCTTTGTTGACAGAACAAAGGGGAAAACCTGTTCTTATATTTTGGTACTGGCAAAGGAGGTCCCATGATGTAGATACTCTGTTTTTGTTCGTTTGAAATGTACTGTTCCGGCGACATAATTATGACGCCGATGGGGACACACATTGGGAAGTTGGAGCAGATTTTAAATTCACCGTGGTCACTCTCCTTCCGTGTTCGTTCCTCCCAACTCGTCGGTGTCTCTATCTAATAATATTATTCTTCTACTCGTTACGTCTTCCCAACTCCATCTTCCGCCGTTACAGTTCATCTCAATGATTTTTTGCTACACGGAAAATCCCGTGCTGCCAGTCACCCCAGCGAGTTTCTTCGGGTGGCAACCGCCCGCAGCAGCCACTGACAAATCGAGTTACGGTATTGTCTGGGTGGAGAGGAGCCCAGCCAGCAGCCAGCCAGGAGACTCGAGGCGTAGATTGTTATTGTCGATGTCGTTGTGCGCCACGCGAGCACGACGGCTGCGATGTGCAGTTGGGACACGTGGACAAGCAGAGTAATGCCGTACAATTTTATTTTTTATATAAAACGATCAGCTCGCACGTTCTTCGGACGTCACCCCTCCCCCCCTCCCTCCAGTCAGCCAGCCAGCCAGCAAAACTGTTGTCGAATATAGTCGGATAGCGTATCCCGCGCATTTGTTCGAGATACACGGTCGGGGTTGAGGGTGGGGGTTTTGTTAGTGGAGGGGGGGGGGGGGCTTGACGTCATCACGGAGATGTGCACGGTGGCGTCACCACCAAAGATCCCCCGTATAGCCTTAACAGACTGTTGGGGCAAGTGCTGTTAGCGAGCACCTATGAAGGCCAGAACGGCACACGAGGGGGTGGGTGGCCAGCACCACGCCCGGCCGCCTCTGTCTTCCCAGTGGCGATGTTTCTACACACTGCACCAGGTACTCATTTTAGGCTGAGTCGACCTAGGGGAGGCGCAGTACCAGTTCAGATAATCGTCACTGATGTTGGCCGTGAGCGGGAATCGAATTCGGGTCGCCAGGTTCGTAGCGCAGCGCGCTAACTGCTACACGACCGCTCCCCACCACCACCACGCACACGCCAGCCAGCCAGGACGCCAGCTAGCCAGCCAGACAATTTTAGTTCTCTCTCCCATGAAGTATTGATTTCGCTGGAGGTGGAACGTCGCGTTTGCGACAGCGGCCGGGGCAAGAGGCGGATTCCAGAAACGTCCCAGTTGCAAGTGGTGGGCAGAGAGGCAGTCCCGAAAAATCTATCTTTTAAAAAAAAATTTGCGCCCTACATTTAAACCAAAACATTCAACGTATTTTCTCTCACGCTTCATAATAAACAAAACAACGATGACGTCATCCTGCACTATTTAAGACCGGAAGTAGGTGGATGGCTTCACTATTCTGGCAAATCGCCCGATGATGCTGGATGTAATTTCCAGCGAAACGTCGTACTCAAATTGTAAATGTTGTGGATTCACACTTCAACACACCGATGGGCTAAAGTAGTGAACTATTTGCCTTTTGTCAACGTGACACAATTTTTTACTGATTGGCCGTGTCGGGTGGTGGAGGGTTGCGACACGTTTAGAAATAACGCGATCTGACCCAGAAACATTTATTATGAATAATACCGGTCGCGAAAGCCTTCGTGTTAAACCTTCTCACGCTTGTTTGCACGGGAAACCCTCATTGAGTCTTAAGCGAGTCCTCCCATGTTTTTGTTCCAGTACGGGGGGCGACGATTGCTTTGTACATTCTAAGTGAATCATTTGTGGGGTAATTTTCGTTTATTTTTATTTGGCAACTTTGGACGAACGACGCCGGCACGCAGCGGCCTCCCTCGGCTAATACACCCGCAGTATTACCCAGGGCGGCCGCTAGATTCGAACCACGAAACCCCTGCCTGGACCACGTTCTCCGCGGTAATTCGAGACTCGAAATAAGTATAACCCGTAAAAACAAAGTTTTTCACTCTAAATCCTTTATATGCGTGGCGGCTCGAGTCCTCTCGTCCTCTGGCTTGAGATGGCTGCCACCTATGGGTAAGATGATTGTCTGCAGTATTAAACAATTGGTAATTAAATATAATATTTTTGTCTTATAAAGTGTAAAATTTAGGAAAACATTTTTCACGAACATTAATTGTCACGCACAACGAGTCTGTGTGGAAAATGTCAACTCGATTGGATCATGGGAAGTGAGTTAAATAACGACCGAAAGATGTACACGGTCGTAAGCAAGCAAGCAAGCACGCAAGCAAGCAAGCGAACTTAATATAAAGGATTTAAAAAGCTCCCGTCCCTTAGGCTGTGATGCCTCTCATAGACAGACGCTTTCCGTCTGCCCATACCCATGCAAATAGCCGAGTTTGAAATGTTATCGTATTGATTAATTCCCGTGTGCCGTGTGCGTGGGAGGGTGGTAAGGATAAGGGGCACAGATGGTCCATTTGCCAGTCGTCTCAGTCCGTCTACCCATGTCACCTGCTGGGTCTGTCCCGTGACCTCCTATCAGCGAGCCTTCGACACTTCACATGGCCTCAAAGTGCAAAGTGCACCTGGCCTGGCACAGGCGCCCGTGGTGACGTCACCGTCACTTATTGGGGAATGGCGGGCGACTGGTATCCGTAAGGATAGTAGCAGGTTAGCGAAGTGCGCTGCGGAACCTGGCGACACGAGTTCAATTCCGGCTCACGGCCAACATCAGTGGCGAGGTTCACATATTTGCGTTGGGTGCGTTGTGCAAACATCAGCTCTGGGAAGACAAAGGCGGCCGGGCGGAGTGGTGACACCCCCCCCCTCATCCTCACACATGTGCTCGTTAATAACACCGGTAACGATTATCTGAACCAGTCCTGGGCTCTCCCCTAGGTCGACTCAGCCTCAAATGAGTACCTGGTGCAATGTGTAAACATCGCCACTAGGGAGACAAAGGCGGCCGGGCGTGGTGTTGGCCACCCACCCCTTCGTGTGCCGTGCCGGCCTTTATAGGTGCTCGCTAACAGCACTTGCCCCAACAGTCTGTTCAGGCTATCGTGCGCGAGGTCACGGATTGACACGTCAGGTTTGTGCGACTGGAGTGGCCAGGAGATGGCAGTACAGCAAGTGGGTTCGCCCTTCAGGCCGTGGGGCGTGTTGAGCTCAAGGGCATTTACCCCCCCGCCCGCCCCTCCAAGCGTGTGCACGCGTGCACGTGGGCTTTTCTCCGGATTCTCCCCGGCTTGTTGTCACACAAAAATCCAAAACACTCATTGAGGTCATTGGCCGACCATCGCAATGCAGCAGGGTCCTCTTGAAAGGGGGCGCCTTGAGACCGAGTGAGGCTTTGCTGGGTGAATTAATTGACGTAATTATGAACATAAAAAGGTTAGATAATGTATGAGTTGTTTTTGTTGGGGTAGGCCTCTCCCACTACGCTACGGGCCTCGTCTGGAATCATCGTGAAGGGGAACACGTTATATAGTACTCAGCGTTGCCCGGGCAAAAACGACACACACCCACACAAATCGACCCACACACACACATCGACTCACACCTACACATCGTACACACATCAATGCAAACACGCACCTCAACTCACACGCACACATGGACTGAGACACACACATTATTATTGTAAAAGTTACTAACTTAATTGTTAAATATTAGTTGTCCACACACACACACCACGCACACACACATTGACTAACACACACATCGACTGACACACACAGACACACACATCGAATTACGAACACACACAGCGACTTGCACACACACACATCGATGCACACACATTCACATCGACTTACACCCACACACATCTACTGACACACGCACATATCGACTGACGCACGCACACAACGGCTTGCACAAACACATCGACTTATACACACACGGACGTACACACACACACATCGACTCAAACACACATACATAGACTCACACACACATTGACCTACACACACACATATGAACTTACACACATACATATCGACTAAGACACACACACATAGACTTACACACACACATTGACCGACGCTCACACATCGACTTACACACACACATAGACTCACACACACACATACATAGACTCACACACACATGGACCTACACACAC